AGTCGTACTCAACAGATCCCAGCTAGTCAATATTTACTTGTCCCTCCAACGAGGGTAGATGTGGCACAAGGCCTAGTTTAACGTGGGTCATCTGGGCCCGTAGGCTCGGTCAACAATTCCCCGTAAAACCCGCATAAAGGGGTTCGGGTCTGTCTACGTCCCCGGACGTGACTGGAAGGCAGAGGGTTCGACAGCATAGCTGGAACAGATCCCAGCTAGTGTATTTACTAACCTCCCCGCCATGATCGGATGTGGCACAAGGCCGTATTTAATGTGAGTCATCAGGGCGTAGGCTCAGCCAAAAAATCCCGTAGACCCCGTATAAAACGGGGTCGGGTAGCTGTTTTCCGAGACGGGACTCTGCTCTTCTACATAGAAGGGAGAGAGTTTGACCAGCACCGCAGGAAAAGATTCCAGCAAGTCTCTGTAGTCCGTTGACTTACAGATATATTATAGGTAGTTACTGCCTATAGTGTAGTCACTCATAGGGTTGACAGGTTATTCCATGACATCGTTATCACTACTCGATATTGTCAAAAATGAATTCGACTGAAAAGTCCACGTTGGGGATAGTTGGAGAATGACCAGGTTGCAAAAGAAAACGCCCTTTCTTTTGCGACCCTCTCCGCTAGGGACAGATAACCCCAGTAATATAAACAGGAACAATAATAACAACTTGTTTCGCTGTCAGCTAGAGAGCCTCTCGAGTCTGAAGTGAAGGGATTTTTATAACATACCTGTGCCCTCACCTCTTTCGCCAATCCAAATGGAAGGCGACTAAAGGGGAGGAGAATGAGGCGTTCGCGCCTTAGGACCCCCTGGTCCACTCACGTAAGACTATTTCATTATTTCCGACATTATTTCTTCACTCACGTAAGACTATTTCATTATTTCCGACGAATGGTATCGCCCAAAGAAAATTTCATACTTTCATCTATGTGTAAAGATTTTCTACCCCCCCCCACCATATTAACTCTGTTATTTACTATTTCAAATGTAGTTGTGGATGCGACTACATAGGTAGAACGACACAGCGGTTGGACGTGAGAATTAAACAACACGTACCTGCGATAATACTAAACAAAAAATTTTCTTTGGGCGATACCATTCGTAACACGTATGGGTCTTCCATTGCGGATCATTTTATAAAGAATCCAACTTGTGCGATGGATTTCAGTGTGGACTGATTTTCCGTCTTGGCCAGTTCGCACTCACTTTTCCATCTTAAGGTGCTGGAGTCGCTTTACATCAGGTCTAGGCAGCCTTCTCTTTGCAAACAGAGAGATTGTTTGCTTGGACTTGCTGTGATGCGATTCTAGCAGCTTGGTTGGTATATATATATATATATATATATATATATATATATATATATTTTTTCCTTCCCTGTCCATTCATTCATGTCACCCATGACAGACTTTTTCTTTTTCTTTTCCTCATAATCTAAATTCCCCATTAACAGTTCTGACGAGAGGGGACGAAACCGGTCGACTGTTGTGTTTTATTTTAAACTTATCATGGCCAACAATACTACATTTCTAGTATTTAATGCCTTAATACCCTTTTGTACCGTTTCAAACCTATTTATATATATATATATATATATTTATATTTATATATATATATAGGATTAATACAAATATAAAATTTGTCACTGAGCTGATTGATGTTATCTTCAGCATCCAAACTCTAGAATATCGTAGACTGGCCCACCAGCAATGGCTCCAACCACTCTGGAGAGTAATTATACATTCTTATTGTTCAAAATCCACCCTTGTGCGGATTAATTGATACAACCGCTTTATTTTCCTTTCTTCACCATACGGTCAGTTTTAGATCCACTGGAGTGACAGGGTGTTGTGGCACCATGCATCCAGGCAGAGAAAGAAAGACAGAAAGGGAAAAGAAAGAAAAGAAGAAAGGAAGAGAAAAAGTGAGGCGAGATCCGAATCATAGGTGATAAGCGAACACACACACACGGCTAAGAGGCAATAAAAAAAATGTTATTTCGATAAGTGACGACAAGACACAGGCGACTAAAAAAGACTTTGGCCAGATATGAAAATTAAAGGCCACCTACGAGTAATCGTTGACCGATTTTCCTACTTGGCCTGCGCGAATGGAATTGTGTTATCAAGAAATGTTCGCCAAAGAAAGTCCACTTGAAAACGTTAATTTTGTTAATTGACAAAACACAGGTGTAGCAACAGAGCCTTAGTTAGATATGGAAAATTAAAGTTCCACACAGGCAGTCTCGCTGACTGGGTTCTTTTCGACGGAACAACTCTTTCCCTGCGATAATAAAATTTATGTTATCAGAATATGTGCCAAGGAAATGGGTGGGGACCCAGGGGTGTTTTTCTTTCTTCCTTGGAGACGTCAGACTGACTGAAAACTTGGGGAAAATTGTTTCTGAGGCCATGTCGGAAAACCAACCATCTGATGAATTAGCGATAAACTACTTGACAAACGCCACGTTTTGAACAAAGAGTTGTCATATTATCCGTTCATGATAACGGCGATTTGAAAGGAAGAAAAAGGAAAGAGAAGAGATAATTAATTTTTTAGTTAAGCAAGGTATTTTTTTTTCCGAAACAAAGCCGCGGATTGTTCACGCACGACTAAGACATCATTGGTCAAGTGGTGATCACGTGACGCACGAAGGAGGAGGAAAGATACCCGACCAAGACCTCATTGGCCGAGAGTGATCACGTGACGCACGAAGAAGGCTGTCGACGCCCCCATCCAGAGCATAAGTATGAGAAGCTGCTACGAAGAAGTGGGGAGGGCAGTTCACGCCCGTCCGAAGCATGGTGAGAAAGTGGGAGTGAAAAAAGTTACCAAAAATGGAAAAGAGTGGAAAATCCCTAACCAGAAATAAAAGGGGTGGACACGTATTTAGAATTATCGAGGAACTCCCCGATGCCAACAGACCCAACCCGGTTTTTGTCGGCGTCAATAAAAGCCAGGCCCCAACAGGCAGAAATCAGTTCGTGCCCTGGCGGCAGAGATGATAGCTCAAGATAGCTGACCAAGATTCACGCAAAATTTCGGACTCCTCTTCAACCAAGAACAATTATTTTGAAGAGCGACTTAGGACCTGACCAACGAAATAAGTTTTTTTTTTACTTTCGTCCAAAGACACACCGAAACACAAATTTCTTAGAGAGCAAACAACTTGAAGCGTTAAAATTGCCTAGCGAAAACGACGTGTCACAATCCACAGAACGGGTCGGGAGATAGATGCAGTCCTATGTATCGAACAACTAGACATAAAGTTTGTTACCTTTCTCTTTGATACTTTGAATTTTTTGAGTTTTCATTTTATTTTATTTTATGCATATTTGTGTGTTATCATCCCCGTTGAACTCAATTTGCATTACGGCACCAACCACTGTTTGATCTCGTCTGTCTAAGATCAATTCACAACGTGGGTAGGCAGACTGGAGATCAGTGCAGTTACCTTGGTAACCAGGCGTTGGAAGCGAGTTGGGAACGGCGAGGCTGATATCAAATCTAACCAGATTCCCACCCGAATCACCAAAAGGTTAGAACGTCACATTTGGGTGCCGCGACCGATACCAAGCCAGTTGGTCGTCACAGGACGAGACAACACGACTGACGCGACAGGCGGTCGTCACGTTTGGAGCAGCGACACCCGGACGGAACAGCGAGGAGCTAACAGCTGGCGCCGCGGCGAGAACGTCACAATTGGTGCTGTTTGGGGACGTCACAACTGGTGTCGTGACCGGGATAGGACCCTGGAACGGCCACGTCACAACTGGCGCCGTGGTAGATCAGGATAGAACGTCACAGTTGGCGCTGCGACCGGGGGACGACGTCACAGTGTAATCGTTTTCTATTTTTTCCTCAGATTAGGTTATTTGCAGTGGTATGCAGTAATATGAATCTATTTTCAGGGTGTATGATGAAATTTGATTGGCGTTGAAAAACATTGCGTCATCCGTGATTGCATCAGATTTTTATCACGCTCAGGCACTATTGTCTCGACTGTCGATTAGTTGTCCTATGCCCATTGTCTGCAATGGATGTTACTCCAAGGAAGCGTACGAAAATTTATAACGCTGCACGAACACACTGGCAAAACTTACCAGTGAGCAAATCAAAGTACTATAGACTGGCCCGGAAACTGATTTAAATGCAATCGAGAATCTGTGGTCAATCTGCAAGGAACGACTTCAAGAAATGGGCATACAAAGTACTAACATGTGCATTGGTTTATGTTTTATTGGAAAAATACGAAAAATAAAAAGTAAATAATAACGGAATTTTTCATTTTCTTTCAATTAATTTGCGCAAGGCTATTGTTCCAGTAGTGTTATAAAAACCTCAGAGAATTCCAGTAAGATATATTTAATCATTTCTAAGATACAACAGTTCAAATCTTAATCTAACAATTGGACAATTTTGCTCTTACATGATTTGGACAATTTTTCTGTTACACCAGGTATATTTACAATAATCTTTAGGAAGGATATCACCCTGAGCCTAGGTGTCAAAATAGCATAAATGTTGACGCTGAAATTTTTATTTTAATTTCTTTTACTGATATCTCTTTTAAAATAATTCGACAAACCTTTTTTTAAGTAATATGTTATTTTTACTTAATCCGGTTACATATATAAACGGGTATGATTTTCCTTCCATCATCATGAAATGTTAACTCAGCTTCTTTTAGATTTTATCTCTGATAATATTCAGGATATTTCTCCTTGTCATATGCATCTTTGTATTGAATATCGTGTATGAAAATAGAATCGTTCATTTATTATTTTTAAAAATATTTTTGAATTGTTGGTTTGCATTGAAATAAATTATAGAATATGTTCCCAAAAGGTAGGATGTGGACGGCCATATTGGATTGGGTGCTGACTGAAATACGCGAAGGAAGAAAAAATAAGAAATTTTATTTTTTAAAAAGTGGGAGAAATGATTTACAAATAATTATTATTTGATCAATACATAGGAATATGTAAAGAGTTCTAAAGATAAAAATGTAATGAAAGAATAAAAGAAAAGCAAAAAAAAAAGGAATGAACAAATAAAAGAAATGAAAAAGGAATGAAAGAATAAAATAAAATCAAAAAGGAATGAAAGGTTAAAATAAAAGCAAAAAGGAATGAAAGAATAAAAGAAAAAATGAATGAAAGAATAAAAGAAAAACAAAAAAAAGGAATGAAAGAATAAAATAAAAATAAAAAGGAATGAAAAAATAAAAGAAGAGAAAAAAGGAATGAAAGAATAAAAGAAAAGCAAAAAAAAAGAAATGAAAGTATAAAATAAAAGCAAAAAGAATGAAAGATTAAAATAAAAGCAAAAAAAGAATGAAAAAATGAAATAAAAGCAAAAAAAAAAATGAAGGGATAAAAGAAACCAAAAAAGGAATGAAGGAATAAAAGAAACCAAAAAAGGAATGAAAGAATAAAAGAAAAGCCAAAAGAGGAATGAAAGAATAAAAGAAAAGCCAAAAGAGGAATGAAAGAATAAAAGAAAAGCCAAAAGAGGAATAAAAGAATAAAGAAAAGCAAAAAAAGGAATAAAAGAATAAAGAAAAGCAAAAAAAGGAATAAAAGAATAAAAGGAAAACGAAAAAAGAATAAATAAAGGAAGGAATAAAAAAGGAAAGAAAATTTTAAGTAAATTTTAAGAAAGCAAAAAATAAACAAAGTCTACAAATAGGAAGAGAAGAGCAACACGAATAGAAATAGAAAAGGTGAAAGAAAGAAAGAAAAAAGAAAGAAATATAAAAACGAAGTAATAATGACATCAAAAAAGCAAGTTAAAAAATAAAGAAAGGAGAAAAATAAGAAAAAAGAGAAAGAAAAACAGATAAAGAAATAAATAAATGAAGGCAAGAAAATATTGGAAGGAAGGAAAGAGGAAAAGACAGAAAAGAAAATCGGGAAAATAACGTAAAAGAGATGAAACGAATAAGAAAGACAAAAGAGGAAAAGGACATTTATGATAAAAAGAGAATTAAAAAAACATAAAAATGAAAGAATATAAACAAAAAGAAATAATAAAAAAAGAAAAGATAACTCGGAAAAGAGAATAGGGAAGGAAAGTGAAAAGGGAATGAAAGGAAAATGTGTAGAAATGAAAAACATGAGGAGGGTGAGAGAAGAGATGAAAAAGAAAGAATAAGAGTAAAAGAAAGTATAAAAAGGAGAGAGAATAAAATAATGGAAAGAAAAAAGAGAAAGAATATGAATGATGGAAAGAAAAAAGAGGGAAAATGAAATAACGGAAAGAAAAAGTGAGAGAATAAGAATAATGGAAACAAAAAAGGGAGAGGATAAGAATAATGGAAAGAAAAAAAGAGAAAAATTGAAATAATGGAAAGAAAAAAGAGAGATAATAATAATAATAATAATAATAATAATAATAATAATAATAAAATCTGCAACTTCTACGGGAAGGAAACTAAAAGAAACTGGTATGAACACCACCCAGATAGGACCTGTTACAATTCTATGGGACTACACAATACACACTGGCAGAACAATCAAGGCCAACCGGCCAGATATTGTTATTAAAGACCACAAACAAAAACGATGCCTCCATATTGATATGGCAGTCCCTGCTGACTGCAATGTATCTTTTGAAGATATTCAAAAAAGTTGTCAAAAGTACAAGGACCTTGAAATAGAAATCTCGAAAATGTGGCATATGGGAACATCAACAATCCCTGTTGTAGTTGGAGCCCTAGTACTGGTTGGAAAAGATTGCAGTAGACTAATTGAATGGGATTCCTGGATGTCCATGTCTCAAGGAGATACAAAAAATTGTTCTGACAAATACAGCCCACACCTTACGAAGGGCTTTATCGATGTAATTTAATTCTTTTTTTTTTTTCCTTTTTTTTCTGTCAGTGGAAAGTGTCATGACGCCATTTTTAACCTTAGGTCCCTAGGCGGGACCCGGAAAGAAATGTGTAAACGCCAGAAATCAAAGGAAATAAAAATAATAATAATAACCGAAGGAAAAAAGAGAGAGAATTAAATAATGGAAAGAAAAAAGAAAGGGAATGAAATAATGGAAACAAAAAGAGAGAGAATGAACTAATTGAAAGAAAAATGAGAAAGAATGAACTAATGGAAAGAAAAAAGAGAGAGAATGAACTAATGGAAAGAAAAAAGAGAGGGAATGGAATAATGGAAAGAAACAAAGATAGAGAATGAAATAATGGAAAGACACAAAACTAAAAGAAAATAAAAGAGAAAAGCTTCAGAAGCATTATCACGTGAAAGAGAATCAGTTGTGAAGAAAGTACATATTTCGAAAAAATGAAATATTTTCGATAAATGAATAAATAATGAAAAGAAATGAAATGAATATTCAATTTTTAAAAGATGAATGGAAAATGTTAACTAAGTGAAAAGATGAAGATGAAGATACAACTTATGAAGAAGGATCTAAAAGCTAAAAAGACGTATAAAATAGAAGTTAAAAAAATATAGGACGAAAGAGAAATGAGAAAAATATGTAAAAGTGTCGCTTATAATAGGAATTGAAACGAGTGAGCTTCGATGGATGTCAGCCTATTTCTTTTGAAAATAACGATAAAAAAATTAGATAAAATATTAAAAAAAAACAACAAACAACGAAAGTTTAGAATAAGAACAGTTCTATTTAAGACAGGCATTTACACTGTCCGAATGTTCTATTGTACTTTCGCTATTATGCTGAAATGATCGTCGGGTCGTTTTAACATTTTCCCCGCCAAATAGCTGCCCATGGGCGCCATCTTTCTAACGGGACATTTTCCTTTAGTAAAAGCCAGACAGCACATCTCACAGGAAATGTTTCTTAAAGCTGCAAATTGCAAAGCTGCGTTTTTAATTCGAACAACAAGTAGGTTCATTTATTATTATTCCCATGAAGGAATTACGTTTGTTTTATTTATCTGATTTCACGTTTTTAACTTGGTTTGGTTTGGTTTGTTTTACGGCATATCAACCTCAATGGCTTATTTAATGTCGACCAGATTTAGATTGATTGTAATTGTTTCTTTTTTCAGAAATATATTGCTGGTAATATTTTTCCCCAAAATATATTGTTGATGATTTTTTTTTTTTTCGTTCTTTTGTTTTCCTTTTTTTTTCTTTTTCAAACATATGTTGCCGGCAATATTTTTTCCAAAAATGTATTGCTGGAAATTTTTTTCAGACATGTGTTGCTGGAATTTTTTTTCAAAATAATGTATTGCTGGTCATAATATATTGCTGATAATTTTTTTTCTTCAAAAATTCATTGCTGTTTGTAATTTTTTACAAAAATGTATTGCTGGTAATAAAACCTATTTTTACACGTTTTCATACTAATTCTTTTTATCATAGAAACTTCATAGATATTTTGTCCTTTTTCTAATGTACGGTTTGTCTCGTTAATTGAAAGTACAATCGTCATTATTTTCTCTCCCAACCATTTTGATTTTCACATTTTGTCATATGGTGAAAACAACTGAAAGGGGGGGGGGCGTAACAATTATCAACTGGTGAAACAGAATCAACAAACCAAGTCACAGTTAATCCACTTCGGAAAGGCATCGACCTATTTCTCCATATTGATCCGCGTTATCAGCAGATATCACGAGAATGACGTTTGACGAAAAAGATATTCTGTCGCTACATGGACAGAGGTACAATCAGTGATTTTTATGGTTAGACAATGCTTGTGTCAACATTTTGTATAAATTACATTTTTAATACATTCTCTTCACCATAGGGAAATAATCTACCATTACAGACCGTTAATCATTCGCGGGAATGCGTATTATATCCTCCCAAACAGTGGAATCCTAGTAGCTAAAAATGAGTGATTTTCCAAGCGTAGCTCAGATGTGGCTCATGGCCGAAAGTATGGGGCACCCAGTAAGGATCGAACTCACCACTCAATCGTAATTGCTTTAGTGAGACAAGATTGCTAACCATTACACCAACTCGAGGTACCCTAGTAGCTAAAAATTAGTTTATGATAAATTGCGTCAAGGATTTATACACTGTGACTGGACGTGATCATTGTGAAATTTAGGGTCAAAACTACTAACTCTACGTAAGCTAAAAAATGGCAAATATTTTTTATTTTTATTTATACTGAAATTTTTATTTAAAAGTGGTTTTTGAATTTGTTTATATATTCTGTGAGTTCAATCACAGCGTCAGGTAGTGCAGACTTAAATTCAGTCGAAGCTGGAAGAAGAAGCACCGGAGAATACAATCTCTGCAATGTTGTGATAAAAACAACAAAGATGAGGATAATAGTTCAAGTGTAAATAATGAAAACTACTGATCCAAGAAATTCACCAATCACATCCTGTAGTTATTACTGACGCACAAATGTTCGTTAGGTGCGATTGTCGAAGAGTGGTGTTGAGATATTTACTGTTGAAATATTGAAAACAAGAGAGGCATATGCAAACAACGAGCAAACTGTCTAACGAATTTTTTGTTAACGGTAGCAGAACATGGATTAAGATTAGTTTTGTTTGGTTTGTTTAATCTATCTATCGATCGATCTATCTATCAATCGATCTATCTCAGTATATATATATTGGTTTGGTTTGTTTGGTTTTACGGCATATCAAACTCAATGCGTTATTTAATGCCGACATCATTTTTATTTCTGGCAATATTTTTTTTTATCTATCTATCTATTTATCTAAGTATATATTGGTTTGGTTTGTTGTGTTTTACGGTATATCAACCTCAATGGGTTATTTAATGCCGAGAAGATTTTTATTTCCCAAAATGTATTGCTGGTAATATTTTTCTTCAAGAATATATTGCTGGCAATATATTTTTCTTCAAAATTGTATTGCTGGTAATAATGCATTCTGGTAGTAACTTTTCCATAAAAATTTATTACTGGTATTAAAACTTATTTTTACACTTTCGTAGCGTTTTGACACCAGTTTGTGGATGAAATATTTGCCCATAGTTGGGACCCTAACAGTTGCAACCCCCGGGGTCAGGGTGGACCTGGGAATACCAGCATTTAAGAGGCAGTTCCACGCACCTCAAAATATCCTGATCAGAAGCCTTGCTGTTGGACTAATTTGTGGTCATACCCAGGACGCCGATGTAGTTTATCGCCTTACCCAGGACGCGGATGTAGTTTATCGTCTTACCCAGGACGCGGATGTAGTTTATCGCCTTACCTAGGACGCGGATGTAGTTTATCGTCATACCCAGGAAGCGGATGTAGTTTATCGTCTTACCCAGGACGCGGATGTAGTTTATCGCCTTACCTAGGACGCGGATGTAGTTTATCGCCTTACCCAGGAGGCGGATGTAGTTTATCGCCTTACCTAGGACGCGGATGTAGTTTATCGTCTTACTCAGGACGCGGGTGTAGTTTATCATCTTACCTAGGATGCGGATGTAGTTTATCGTCTTACCCAGGACGTTGATGTAGCTTATCGTCTCACCCAGGACGCGGATGTAGTTTATCGTCATACCCAGGACGCGGATGTAGTTTATCGTCTTACCTAGGACGCAAGGATTAAGATATATAGTAAGGAAAGAAACATTACATGAGGTACAAAGGATCGGAAGTTCCCTGATCGGAGACCCCTCAATGCTCACGGATTAAAAGGACACGACACAAAAGGTGCAGATAAAATAACAAATCAGAGATAGTATCGAGATTACTTTTGTTGTCTGTTTTCGTTTGCATTTCCGGGTGGGCTTTGGCGGCTTGTATGGCATCCGCTGGTCTCGAGACCATGCATTTGAGCTCGATGATTTACGCCCGCTTAAGTCGCAGGCCTGAGCGGAGTTCTTTTTTTTTTATGGGAGGTCGGCAGTTGCCCATGTAAGCACATCTCACTACTCCACGCCACCGGTGTTGTGCAAAAGAAAGGCAGAGACCAATACAACTTGGCACCGGCGTCGTAGTAGGAATTGTAAGAACAAAATTGGACATGACACCGGACTGACGTAGTGACTCCGGTACCGGACTTGACGATTACTGACACCGAAAATAGTATCGCCTTAACCGAGTTGGTTTTCCGACATTTCATTTCATGTTAATTAATAACCTAGCAAGCGGCATGAATGCATATACAGTGATACCTAGTCTTAAGACGTCTCGAGTTACGTCATTTTCAAAGATACGTCAGTTTTTCTTTACATATTATATGAAAAATAAAATTCGACTTACGTCGTTTTACTCGCGTTTACGTCGGCTGATAAAAATATTAGAAAGATCAAAACTCTAAAATATCAATAAAACACATTTAAAAAAAATATATAAAATCCTATTTAATATATATAAAATATATATATATATATATATATATATATATATATATTACTTATCTTAGAGACAGACTGGTTCGTTGTATGACAGCTCATCAGTATGGCTAGATATCCGATTGCCTCAAGCCGGGATCGAGACCCGACTGCTTAGGCATCAGTCGGAGATTTTACCTTTCATCTATTAGCGGCCGGTAGAGAGGGAGAATTTTTAGGTATTGGGTTGGTGCATAATTATCAGGCGTTTTTGTCGGCAACTTATTTCTTAATAAAATTTTCTATTTTGCTTACTTCTTTAAATAGGAATATTTTATTTTCAGGTTATAAAGATGCGTCTTGATAATCATACGCTCCGGAGTCATCATTTTCAAATGTTATTGTTGAATTGTTATATTTCTTTTTTCATAATAAATATTTAAAATCACCTGATAAAAAAAACACCAACCCAATATATATATATATATATATATATATATATATATATATATATATATATATATATATATATATAAGAAAGAAGTTGTAGTGGTTCCAACGAGAGAAAAGTATGTATATTAAAAAAAGAGAAGAGGAGTGCCGCAAACGTTTTTGGTTGTAATGTGGATTTTTTAAAAATATTATGCTTTATTTTCCATAATTTTACTACAGGTGTTTCTTGTCTCGCGACCGTCTTCAGGTAAAAGGCGAAGATTTCCACATATTATTAAAAATAATTCATGTTTTTCCTTATGTTTTCAATGTTAAATATTCTCGGTATGAGACATTCTCTGTTTTTGTGTTAGTAATCCGAATGTCTTTCTTTAATTGGCAGTCTTTTACTATATATATATATATATATATATATATATATATATATATATATATATATATCATCAAAAAAAAAAAAATAGCGTAATGAATTATGTTCAGCTACTCTTATTTCAATTTCCTGTTGACAGGTGGCACTGTTGCGTTGTTTTCCACTCAAACATCGATTTTGAATTCAGCCTTGTTTACATTATGATTTAGAATACATTTTTTGCCCGTAACCCCGAAGAAAAAAACACTGTACGTACGTATCATAAATACTGTAATAGGCAATGGCGACTGCTTATTTACGGTTTATAATGTGGTAATTTCGACTCAAGTCGTTTTTCGACATAAGTCGTGACCTCTGCAACCAATTAACGACGTAGGGTGAGGTATACCTATATGCCTGCCCTTTGCCAGATATATCAAAAATATTTCGTTACTGGTATGCCACACCTGCTGATCCTGAAAAGTAAAGGTAGGTAAAAATTAAAGCCAGTCCGTCTCCTGTAACTATCTTATATGTCATGAAGCCTGAAAAGTGAAGAAAGACGTTAACTTCATTGTCGATCTTGGAAGGGTTTAGCCATTTGTATTTTTAAATTGAAAATAGAAAACCTCATTAGTGTATATTGCGATTCTAGTGAGGAGCAATATCCTTCACTCTTGGTTATAAAAAAAAGAAAGAAAGATGGATGGATGAAATTACTGTTGAGGAATTTCACTAACCATTAGCACCCACAACCATCGCATACTTTACCAAAATTTGCCCGATTTTACTCGTTCTTGCAGAAGATAAAAATTGTCTGATTAAATTTAAACAGTACAAAACACACATGTGCACAGTGAGTAAAAATCTAAACAAAAGTCAAAACATTTCTAATGCTGTTTAGGATTTATGTCGTGAAAGAACAAAATAAATTTAACCCTTTTATCTTGTGGGATAATCCGTTTGGACGAGGCATGGAATCCATTCACTGGATTTCACTGAAATCAGATTCGGAGAAATTAAAAAAAAAATAATAAAAGTAAAAACAAAACAATAAAAACTTAAACAAACAAATTAGATAAAGTCACAAATAAAGAAAAAGTAAATTTATCCTCATTTTTTTTTTTTTTGCTACATTTGTTTGACAAGGAATTGTTGATAATATCACGGAATCGGGGAAAACGGATAGAATTTTCAGAATCCGTTTTCAAAAAGAATAAAATAAAGTGACATATTGAATTTAAGCTTGATCTCCTACGCGTACCACACAACACACACACAACACACACTTATATGCATATATATATATATCAATTGTGTGTGTGTGTATTCATTACTCTATACGTGATATTCGTATCACTCTATGTGTGTTACTGGTAATCTGTAACCTCCGTACAACCAGCCGCATGGTCGGTAACTGAAGCGGTTACCCCACAAGATTTTTTTGGTGGTTCGTATGGCTATGCCACCAGCAGGATTAAAAACAAAATCTTTCATAGGGCAGATGAATCATTTCATTGCATCAACGGTCATTTAACACAGGCGAGAAATAACTGAGATGGTGTCCGGACGCGCGGTAATCCAGAGTAGATTGTTCTACTTCCATGCCTCTTCCGGTTCGGTTGTCTCAGTTATTTCCCTTTAATTCAACTCTCTAAGTATTTTGATTCACCCCTGCTGTAGCCTGGTATTGAACTCACAGCTCTTTGGGACTAGTCACTGGATCTAAGCAACGTCTTTATCCACTGGGTCAAACGTTGTTTCGATCCAAAATATAAAAAAATATAATATATATATATATATATATATATATATATATATATATATATATATATATATATATATATATATATATATATATATATATATATATATATATATATATATATATATATATATATATATATATATAGCAACCATACATACATGCAATTACTGTCATATACAGATTTGCAAATAAATATTTATTTCATTTTGGGTGTAATCAAAAGAGTGCTCAATGAGTGTAACAGAGCTATAAAGTATACGGTTGTTTAAAAGTTTATTGAATATTTGAAAACAACCGTATTGAAATTTTCATAGCTATTAGCACCTCACTATTGTACAGACATGAAAGACGGAATCATACAACAGAGGTAAGTAATATGGAAAATTATTAATATATACTATATATATAATCAAATAAATAAATATAAATAAATGTAAGTGCCAGCGTTCACGCACTCATGCACACACATAATTACCATAGATAGATACACGCACACACGCACAAACACATATATATACTTTGGTCTAAATAAAACAGTGCTCAATGCAAAATAACAGAGCTGTTAAATATATATTTTTAAATATACTTAATACCCCAAACAGACAGTAGAACTCGGGGTTTTACGTGCTATGCAATCATGAGGTACAAAGGAAGTGTATATTAAAGCAATAAACTTTATTTTAAACAGCTTTCGTTACATATATCGGAAAAAAATAAGAAAATTGAAATTATACATATTTAATGAAAGATGTGTGTATATATATATATATATATATATATATATATATATATATATACTAGCAGCATGGCCCAGCGTTGTCCGTGCTTGATTCAAAAATCGTACGACTCATACAGCAATCGCTATCACTTGACTTAAAATATTTTTGCCCTTCCTTACCTTTAAAGGAGTGCCCTTTGCCGTGCTGATGTTGCTACATGCCTTACTTCTTGCCTATCTCACACTGCGAATTTTTCTAAGCTCGAAACTAAACATTAAATCTGTTACGAAAAAAGAACTAAACTAAAATGAACACAAAACGATCAAGAAACCGAATGAAAAAAAGAATGTTAACAACAAATACTTTTTCACACCCAACCCAGTTCTGCGGAATCAGAATCATTGTTGAGTTTAAGCAAGCGAATGAGCTAATTGGAGTAAAGTGCCATGCAGATTTAAATTTTTCCCACTTGGGACGAATGCAGCTATCGATTTTTTTTGCATGCTAACATGCTAGTTAACATTCGTGTCAGTCAGCTGTTGGCTTTCACACTGGCCAATAGAATATTCCTACCTATTCGTGGCAGCCAGCTATAGGTTCTCACTCTGGCCAGTAGAAAATGGCCGCAAACTACATGAAAAGTGCCGTAGAAGCATGAAAAAATCTATTATTTCCACTATCGATGGGAGTTGGGAAATGCAAAGACGGTCTTGGCCTTCCCGCTAATTTGGAGCATGTGCATGTGAATTTTGGTCCAAATCCGTCGAACATTGCGGCCGTGCATTCACACACACACACACACACACACACACACACACACACACACACACATCCTGCCTCTTATATATATATAGAGAGAGAGCGAGAGAGAGAGAGAGAGAGAGAAAGAGAGAGAGAGGGATATGATAGTATAGAATAAAAAACAAATAGGAAACGTTTATCAATTTAAAATGTTTCACTTTTATTAAAGCTTCATCAGAGAATGAGATATGATAGGATAAGATAAAGAACAAATAGGAAATGTTTATCAATCTAACATGTTTCACATTTATTAAAGCTTCATCAGAGAATGAGATATGATAGGATAGGATAAAGAACAAATAGGAAATGTTTATCAATCTAACATGTTTCACTTTCATTAAAGCTTCATCAGAGAATGAGATATGATAGGATAGGATAAAGAACAAATAGGAAATGTTTATCAA